CAATAATTTGTAATACATTACTGAAGTAAAGATGCCTATCTTAACAATTTACGACAATATATGATAAGATTCTGATTATATGTTATGTAATAAGGGGTCACAAGGGGCCAGAATGCTAAATCTTTGATGTTTTATATCTCGAAAAGGGGGAATATTTTGAAAAGCAATACTGAACAAAATATGGTCAGAATAATGTTCTAAACAATATGCACCCTTTCAATTTTTGTCAAACGGCCCCATTAAGGACTTGGAAGGGTGGCCCCTAAATATTTCCATTCAGCATATTTCCACAACGAAAAGAAATCTCTGAATAGTTGTTGAACAAAAAGTCTTTAAAATCACAAGACCTTTCAATTGATATCAAGAAAAAGGGGCTGACCCCTCAAACTAGGGGTTCAGAGGGGCCAAAAGCAATTCATCGATAGCTCTTTGATAATGTATATAAATCCAAGGATTGAAATCTAATTAGGGAAGTCTTTATATATTATTATCTTTTAACAAAGATCATAGTCAAAATCATATCTCATCTTATCGAAAAATCGGACGGAAGACCTACTCGTTGCTCGCAACGAGATCTCATCTAGTTATTATTATTATTATTATCTCGGAGTACTTCATGGTATAGTGACATTTACTTTGGCGTTCCGAACAATTGGCTAAACTCTTCCGATTTTGACTTCGAGAGTAGTATGGATCTGACGAAGTGGGTGTATTTTAGGGGGCGGGGAGAATAGCTGAAATGGCGAAGATATGTTTCTGTTAACGGTTTAGATTTCTAGTAATTCTTTTTTGCCCCAGTAATCGAAGATTTGGGGGCATATAGTTTTTGCCCTGTCTGTCTGTCCGCAAAAACTTTAACCTTGCCCATAACTTTTGATTGGTTGGAGCTATGGCTTTCATATTTCACATGTGTATTCCTTGTGACAAGACCTTCCTTTGGATACCAACAGTTTTGGCATTGACCTTGACCTTGGAGTTTGATCTACTTTTAAAAATTTTTAACATTTGCCATAACATTTGAACGTTTGGTTCTAAGGCTTTCACATTTCACGATCTAGTGTATCACTTGTGACAAGTACTTCCCTTGGGCACCATTTGACCTTAACCTTGCCGTTTTATTTACTTTGAAAAAACTTTAACCTTCACCATAACTTTTCAACGGTTTGTACTATGGCTTTCATATTTCACAGGTATATTCCTCGAAACAAGACCTTGTTTGGGTACCAACATTTTTAATTTCTTGACCTGGAGTTTGACTTGCATTTAAGAAACGTAAACCTTCGCCATAAGCTGCCATACGGGGGCATCAGTGTTTCAGAAACACATCTTGTTTCTATTTTTGGTCATTTTGCATAAACCAGGACAAAATGAAACAGCTTTGTTTATAATTTGTCATATGTTCAATAAATTCTCAAAACAGACAGTTGGTATATATTATAGATTTCATTTAAGTATGACAATGTCTTTCATGTTTACTATTAAGTTTTATTGAAAACTGTCGGTCAAGAAAAAATTACGTTTGGACATGTAAATTCCATAATCGCTTGTCTGAATGGACAAGTAGGGAAAAAACTTAATGTTGCGGCCTGCCCTGATTGACATTAAACTTGCTTACTTGTTTTCTGCGGGATAGTCTGCGTGCTATCAGCACAGCTTTCATTACATGTTAAAGCATAAGTAATCCCCATATCGTTCTTTTCTTTTGGTAAAGAGCGAGATAATTTGTCGAACCGACAACAAAGGCATCCTTTTCTCACAGAGGTGTTTTCTTATAAATGTTTAAGGAAGAATAATCTTGCATATCTGGATATGAGTTTAGCTTAAGTATCTCTTCAGAAAGTTCCACAGCATATTGTAATCGACCAACAAAAAATCGTTTCTGTTCGTTTCTGCAACTTTCTTGGCACAGTTGCACCAACTTGATACTCGTTTGCTTTGTTCTTGATTTGCTACCCAATAATCCAATAATTAGCAACAAATATTTAATCAAAATTAGATAATTACAACATACATAATGTAGTTCTCAACCCTGTCCTTGTTTAAATAAGAAGCAGACACATTATTTACAATTATCGAAGTCTGAATCAAACGTGTCCGTCAATGTGTGTGCTGTTTTGCTATTCAGAACCAGGACTGCTTACATTTCAGGTTATTCTATCCTTTCCCAATAGTTATTATTATAACAATCAACAGAATGACCAAGATATCTTTTCATTATTTTTCTTGCGGGAGAGACGGAGATACATGGAAAGTGCAGAAATAGAGAAGGTGGAAACGTGAAAATAGGACGGAGGGACAGGAAGGAGTGGGAAAGGAAGGTAGACAATAGGGAGGAGGAAAAGGAGTTTGGGAAGAGGGAGGAGGATGCCTCCTGTCCTTCCCATTCTATCTAGCAAATATTATGGGTTGTTTTTTTTTTTTTCAAAAGTTTTGTTATTCTGCAAAGAACTCTGTGTTTCAACCTCATCTTCTATGATAACCATTTTGAATCTAGTGCGATACTTAACATTTCATCAGCAGTTTATCAATACACTTTTACTTTGGGCTAGACCATAGCTGTTACTTTTGTAACGGTCAGTAATTTGTGACAGACATTACACTGGTAGACACGAATTCCTTAGATCAAACTTTCAGAGTGTATCCTAGCGATTAAGTATTGTTTTTCGATAAGACACTCTAGAGACGACCAAACCTTGGAGTTATATAGTCAAGTTCTTGCCTGCAACTTCTTTATATGTTGCTGTCCAGCGCATCAATTTAAGAAGCTTAAGCTTTTTAGTCTTTTGATTATTATGGATCTTTTATTGGAGGTACTTAAAAACTTGGTGATTGCCTTGCGTGAAATTTATGACTGAAAGTTACCATCCCATTGGCCGATTAGTAATGTGAAGTTTTAAAAGGTCGCTCATGAAACTATCGCATTTTATGAGTTTTACTGCGATTACTAATTTTTGGCTTCGAGAGGAACAGTTTGAACATGACGGATTTATCGTGTTCTTCATCTCAAACCGACATCGATTTCTGATCTCATCCCATGTAAAGTCATTGGCGTAAATTTACCACAGACTATTCATATTTCATATTTAATTTTCCGGCTGATAATTATTGAAGGAAATTCGGAGTCTGATCACGAGCCATTTTTTTTTCATGGCACGATCAATCGGAGAGTGACCCAAAGTTTTGCGTTAAAAAGTACATATCACTGGGGAAATAGTTTTAAAATCAATGTTTTTATTCGTAATTCGAAGACACTGCAAAGTGTTTGCATGCCTTGCCCCCTCAGGGGGTAACTTTGAAATTTTCTTTGTCCGTAATCTTGAACACGCATCATATTATACAACCAGCATGGTTATATGGTTAGCAAATAGCAAACTGGTCAAAAACTTTCGGACTTTTTATCATATTCTTAGAAAGTAATCACTCCTTATACAATAATTATGATTTAATCAGGTTATTGTAACCTAAAATGAGATGAACATAATTTTTAACAAATGTATATTTAATCAATATTTTTATTCATCATTCCAAAATCAATACAAATTGTTGGCATGTCTAATCCAGAAAGGAGTAACATTGAATTGTTTTTGTCCATAATCTTAACACGCATTAACTATATTATACGAACTGTAACGACGCAATAGCAAACTGATTTTGAAACAATACAAGAAATTTTTGGTAATTTTATGTCATCTTTTATATATATATATATATATATATATATATATATATATATATATATATATATATATATATATATATATATATATATATATATATATATATATATATAATTTATATATATGTGTGTGTGTGAGGGGTGTGTGTGTGTGAATCATAATTTTTTTAAAATGAGAGAACCATAATGATTTTTTTAGAAGTGTAATAGTGTATTAGACGACAGGTACCCTCCATGTGGGAGCACTTTATATTAAAAACCATAATGTATGTGGATAATGTTCTTGTTATATATTCGTAAGTTTGGTTATCATTCATTACAAAAAGGTTCGATATATATGATTTATTGATGGTAAATGATTGAACTTTTTTCTTCTTTCTCAATATTGAAGTGAACGCACTTGCGGAAATCATTATTTGGAATAGAAACTATTAAGTTTCTAAAACTTTACCGTAGTTCGAAATTGTCAACGTATATGATAATTGTTCAGGTATTGTACGGCAGTACGATTAGAGATAAAAGCTATGATGAGCATTTTGCCTCCAATGGGAAGACTTTATGTTAAATAATTACTTCTATTTCCGAGAGCCAAACCTTTTGTATAATGTGTTTTTTGTCATTATCTTGTACGTGAGCAATATAAAATGCAAGCTATCAAGATGTATGCCTGAATCAATACCATTGTGATTCAAATGAGACATATTTGAAAATCTGAACTCTTTATTTTTATTTGGCACGACAGACAAAGCATCAGTGCCATCATTATAATTGAAGACATTACAGTTTGCAATCACTAGAATCACACATCATAACGATTTTCTCATCATTTGCACTCATAAATTGAGAAATAAATGCATCGCTGTCGTCAAATACTGCAATTCTAAATGTGATGTTTTTGTAACCTTTCCAAATCATTTACCGACAATGACAACTTCATTTTCAAATATAAGTGACGAATGCAATTTAGAAGTCAATAAATTTTTAACCATTGACTCGGAACCTTGTTTTCTATTGGTATATGATGCACTGTGATAAAATATTCCCTTTGACGGAGCAGCAGGTGCTTTTTGATGCTATAGCTAGTCTGTGATCCAGATCTCAGAGGCATTAAAACAATCCACCTGGTCCAGAATGACTAAACAGTCTTAGGGAGGGTAGATTACTTGAACAAAACATAAATGACCTAGATCTTATAGCATGTCTCGTTGATGAACAATTTGTCAATCCATACTGACGATCGAGAGGTGATCAGCGCCTTCCTTTAGTTAATTTAATGTGATCGCATTATTGAAATAGATGACTATTAATTAATGAATTTTATCCTTTTAACAGTGTTTTTGGGGGGGTGATATTGTGGCGTATAAACAGGGGGTCGATGTAATTGGCGTTCATTGATTTGATTGGCATTAATTTGAGATTCCCATTTCTTACTTTCTGTTGTGTGTATAACTTGTAACACTTGGCCTCATGGGATTGCTTAGCGCTAATGGATACGGGCTTTTGCGGGGGATTTCTCAAGGACTCTTTCCATCACTTCGAGTTAGAAAATTCACAACATTGAGGAAGATGTTTAATTTTCTTGGATTTGCTTTCGTCGTTATATTACTTTCAGGTAAGGTATCTGTGATGCATTTTACACATGATCTGATATCGGTCTAAACAGCATAAATCCTTTTGTCCTTGGATTATAATGGACACTTAATGAAAAATTGTTGGGATTGACATTATTTTGTGTGAAATGTAAGAATGACATTTTTCTTATCGGTTGTCTGGTTCTTTCAGAAAACGTCAGTTTTTCACCATGTCTACATCTGAAAAAAAAGGGTTTTTTTTAAATTAAAAAAATGAAAACTGTACTGCAGTAATATACGTGTGGCATGTCTCCCTGATAATTCAATTTAAATAATTCAAATGTATTTTGAGACTTTTACATAAAATAACAAATAAATATATTCTCGTGCATAAGTAGAAACTTTTGCCTTGTTTGAAAATACATGTTGCTTTATGTATATAATGCATTTCTTATACTTTTTAAGCAAATTACAAAACTTGACGTCTAAGCCGATCATCTTTGAATAATAAACCTTTTTCGTGAAATGATGATACACAATTAAGGACAAGAAAAGGTGACTCAGACGTTCGAACTACAGGAATTATGTAGAGTATAGAAATAGTTCGCAGATAAAAATCTATAATATGTACATGTTAATTAAAGCTGTTACGAGGTGAATTACATTAATAAGAAAAGGACATTTCAAAGCTTCAATAAAACAACACATGATCATCTTTTGTGTTGTCTTATTTTATTAAAAAGCTTTGGAATCCCTGTTCTTGCTTTTGGTACCTATCATTGTAACACACACACAGTTGAAATGAAATGCATTTTTAAAAATAAAAAAAAAGTATTAAAGTGAGCTATTAGGGTTAAATTTGCAGATAAAATGAAATACAATATCGCAAACCTACTTAGAACGTGCACATGATGATCTGATGATTTTAAAGATAATTTGTATGACGTGAAAGACATTACCATTTTGCGTGATGAAACTAAGATGGATTCATGAGAAGAATTTGAAAAATTGAGATTATGCCCAGAAAAGACGTGCCTTTCCAGTTCTTTTTCAAATTGTTTTATGTTAATAAGCTTAAGAATATTAAGTGTCAGACTTCGGAAAGCCTCCAAAAATTCTGAGAATCACTGTTCAATTGCTTCCATTGCATCGGGTCACTTATTGAGCCCTTGTTGGAGCTTAATATTGACACTTAGCTTTAAAGGCCAACCTGGGAATCGTTTTCTTTCAATAATTTAGAAATATACGTGCAATCGCGATGACATAGATTTAATTGAGAGTATTCCTTCGCCGAGAACTAGTCATCTAATCCGGCATAATTGTCTCAATTGAGTTGCAATCGGTTTAGGTCATCAAGGTAATAATCAAAAAATCTCGCCAAACAAAAAATTCTGTGATCTTCAATTATTGATGTGTATTTGATTTTTTACAGAAAAGGTTAAAAAGAGTTAAGAGCATATGGTCACAGACGTATAGGCAATAAAATTTTGTTGTAAACATACACTTTTTTTTAGAAAAAATAATAATCTTACATCATCAATTTTATACCCGAATAAACAGCAAATTTAATAACGGATTGTGCATACGGAAAAAAAATCAAAAATGAAATTAACACGTAGCCAGCACCCCTAGTGTTGCAAAGACGATTCATTGATTCTGTAAATGAATTTTTAAACGTGACAAAATACCAAACGAGCAGCCCTTCCTATTTTCGAAGAATGTGCTGCACATATTCCTATTTGACGATTACTGTAAGCAAATCCCACCGGCAGCTGAATAATGAAACACACGGAATACTCTGCGGCAGATGCTATTATTTCGTGTTTCCACGAAACACCAAGGCTATTTACACAGGAAATTTACCAGATATTACGACAATTACCGTATCAACACTTTGATCCTCGAACTGCATGTATAGTTCTTAATTAAACTTCCGTATCCGGGTAGATGCATGTATCTACATTTGATCAATACATCAATACAGCTTCCCAGTTTCCAGTTTTCCTCTTAGTTTTCTTGTGTGCGCAAGGTCGTATGTTCGATTCCTTCATTTGTCTCGAGTGCGGTAGGTTGCGCGTTCGAATCCAGACTAAGTGCGGCCTAGAACTATGAAGTATTTCCGATTGTTTAGAGGAAACATTAAAATCTAATGCTTTCAATAGAACTTTTGTGAACTCGTCTAGAGTCTGACCGGTGTCTAAAACTAGGTAGACACAAAATATAATCAGAATATTGTTGACAACTAAGAAGGTGTTCAGTTCAGTGTTATATATAGATATTACTTATTTACTTCACGCAATTCAAGAAAGAAAGGTGGAAAATCAGTCTAATCAAAATTAGATCTTCAGACATGTTCCTGTTTTTATCATATTTTATTATGTCACAATGAGACGACATCATCAGTCCGGGGAGCAGATGGAAGTTGTTATGAGATAACTGAAAATATTTTCATATTTATTAAACCCATTGCAAGTGTTTGCAAAGAGTACAACGGGTTCTTTTTATCCTATAGATGCGCCAGGCACTCGTTTTAGTTCTACTCAGTTTAACGATGGTTTCTGAGTGGAAAAACAATAAGCTATGTTTTTAATTATAAGATTTTAGTATTCATGAAAAAAGTATTATCAGTTAGACTTGATAACAAAAATTAATAATTACACATGCATAGAGGATAATGGAGACCAAAAATTGCCAGTTTTATAATCAGACAAAAAGTTTGTCTTTACGGACGAGAGAGTTTTGTTTCTATTATCACAATTTTGCCACATTTAATGAATCTTAAATCATTTCGTTGTAAAGGTTAGCCTCTCAAGCGTTTAATACACGGAAACGCTTAGATTTTCTTGTTTGGGTAATTAAAAGAATTCCTGTTTAACGATGTGAAGCAAGGACAAAAAATTGTCGATCATGACCTAGCTCTTTTGTATAGTTTATAGTTTATAAAGTTCAAACACTAAAATCAGTAGATTGGTTTTTTTTTCTTTCAAAATTTCATTGTATAATGCATCTCTTTTACAGTATATATTTTTATCAATAAACCCATGAATAATGTTTCCTTTCTGAAATGACATTTCCTTTGTGAGTTTTAAATATTTAAATTTTATTTGTGAATGGCGACCGAATGATGGGATTCAGGTTTACTGCTGCCTAGTCTAATTGTCAAGATTCAAAAAGAATTCATTTTCTTTGCTTTTAGTTGGCTGTTTTTTGGTATATAATAGAGACAACTCTCTTATTAGTTCAAACAGCATACCATTTCTCCGTTTTCCGATTATACGTTATTAAATTTAGGGCATGCAAATATTTTTTTTCTCATGCAGAAAAATATTATGTCGTTCGCACAAGATATTATCTCGTTCGCACGAATCATTATGACGTTATTTCTCTTCTGAACGACATCGTATGTTCCAACATAAGAAAAAAAAATAATTGGATACCCCAAATATACCACCGTACGATTGTTTATAAATGAAATTTAAAACACTCAAAGTATTAAAACTCTATTGATTTTTAAACAGTTTAATTTCCATGCAATTTATTTATTCATTATTCACCTTTAAATAAAATTTGGTTGAACGTTTCTTATGTGACATACCGGGATAAAGTATAAGAAATTTGAATTTTAACGCACTGCTCTAATTTTTTGGTAAATTTTTACACTTGCACATCTCTGAAGTGTGATTACATGAACAGAAACAATTCATTGGAATTTATTTTTACTCACAATGCATACACGATACCTTAATCCTAGATATCCTGCGATAAACTCGACATCTAATAATTCTCTCGATTCTATCATCCGAATCAATTTTTGTGATGATGGTTAAAATTGCTAATTAAATCACCGATAACATAGCTCAGTTTCTGCTTCTGCGTCGATTTTCTGTTATTTTCTTTCAACAGGAGTCTCTCGGTCGGAAAACAAGCCGCTTCCTTCCGGATCCGACTCTGAATGTTAGTCGATTAACAGTTCAAAAGTTTTCGTCTAGTGCAATCCGATTATGTTTCAGGTGGAAAATATTCTGTGCGTTAATTCAAATATAGTAGAACAAAGAATCTTTAAATAATCACACTATTTAGTCACTTCAGAAAATGAGAAAAGAAATGTTAATATTTTTGTTTTTTACGGTTTTTCTATGTAATTTATCTTGTTGAATTCGTTTGTTTTGTTTCTTTAGATTGGCACTTTTAGTGTTGTGTTAGTGTGCCAAAATACAATAAAAGTACAGAACGGATTAATTGTTCTCTTTGAAGATAACATGCACACATGATATTAAACTTGTTAACACTGTAACAATAGTCCTCATTCAATGAAGTGCTGTTTGTATTATACGTCAGTTGTGATTATTGCTTTCATCAATTTTTTGACGTAACGGTACGTTATATTTACATATTCAATTGCCCCGCCCCCTTTTGAAAGAAAAAACGCACTTCTTTCTGGCATCTGTCATGCTTTACGTGCCCAATCCGATTCTAATCCCGAGAAAGTATCCAAGTTTTGTAATTGATTATTTTCGTCAAATGTCTCTGATCTGCATGTTTCTTTGGCATTTGGTCGCACTAGCAGCAGGAGTTAAGTGATAATGATGATGACGATCTTTGAGCTTCTGTGCGTTTTACAATTTATGATCTTCACGACAGGTATAAATGATAATGAAAAAAATAATAAAAAAAAAATTAAGATTTTATTAATTTTATTTTCTTTTTTATATATTTTACCGTAATGACATATATATATATATTTTACATATAAATCACTGCGTTTTATACTTTCAGGAAATTCAAAAGGACAGGATGGAAGCGAAAGTCCACCAAGCCTAATGAAGGCTCGTAAGTAGTCGTTATCAATATATATTTCCCTCTATTAATTTCGTCTATTCAGTCAGTCTTTTTCAAAAAGCAAAGCATATTTGTGTCAAGTATGATATCGCCTTTTAAATTTGATAAAATTCAATACCGTTTAGATTTTTGAACTTATATATCAGGAAATGAGAGGTTTTAATTAACAAAAAAATCAATTGTACCACAATCTACAAAATATAACAAAGATAAAATGCTGGAGTTTATAAAAGTCGGTGGCATTTTATAAGGGACGGCCTTTTGTTTATGTGATTAACGTTAACAGACACTAACAATAGCTCGTCACATCCTAATTTACCATGTTAAATGGCGAAGAACAAGAATTCTCAATTTGTCGGTGAAATCAATTCCACGAATTATTCCTGTACCAGCTATCCAACATTCGGAGTTTTAATGCATTTCTATGTTAAAAAATAATCAAGTTCACTTATCAATAAACAATGGAGCTTTGAAAATGTCAGCAATGAGAGACATCGACATCTTTGTTTTGTTCAAAGATCGAGGAAGAAGGATTTTCCTGCTTGGGATCAAAGTGTGTTTTACACTTTATATATATTTAAAGTCGTTGCGCTTCTCCTGGGTATTAAGATACAGTGTATACATAACACAGTTACTTTACAGAATTTCATATTCCTTTTGATGACTATTTTGTTCATTAACTTTTTTTCCAAACTTAATTTTAAGTCGAAAAAAATTTAATTTCGTTGAAAACAAAAACATTTTTAAAAATTGATTTTAAGAGGGAAAAAAGAGCTTCATAGTTAAAAGCCACTGTAATTGCGTGAGTTTAATTTAGTTAGTATTGAAAGTTCAAAGCACATTTTTATGCATTTAATTATAAATGTAAATGGTTATAAGGAAAAAGGGTGATAGTCAAGGTAAAATAAAATTTATAGCTATTCACGATGGATAAAACTTTTTTTAAGCCTGAAATTTTAAAAATGCAAGAATACCTGATTTCACCACGTAAAACAGAACAGGTACATTGTAATTAATTTATCTTAGAGAAGTCGAATATAAAAACAAATTCAGAAGGCCTTCGGTATATGTTGCATATCTTCATGCAACCTGCAACATCTCTACAAAAGCAGCAAATAATAATAAATGACGCCGAAAAAATGTAATAACGACACGTATACCATCTTAAATAGAAACTCGCGGCCATACAGGCTGAACAAGGCAAAAGCATTTATAAAAGATCTAACGTACTATAAAGTTTTATAAATGACCATTAAACTGTTCTAAAAAGATTTTTTGCAAAATATGAACAAATCAAGAACTGATGTAAAGGCTGTTTGGATTGTTTTGACAAGTAACATCTTTTTCAGACCACTAGTACTGTTAAGACATAGAGATAAGCCCGGTAAGTAGATAAGCAATAGTTCTAGAGATCTTCAAAAGACAAACACAAATTAGTTCCTGAGCTACTATAAAATCACTTATTTTCCTGGGGTCAAATTGTCGTAGTTTTTAAGGGGGGGGGGGAATGGTTCATGGGGATTTTATTTCATGGTTAAAACACGAAAACGACGAAAATTAACCCCCATGAAAATCGCGATTTCACCGCTATTCGAATACCGCAGTTCTTTGCGTAGTGACGCACTTGTAGGAATACATTTTAGCCTTGTGTCTGGACCATTATAAAACTGTATAGCCTGTTCAGACAGGCGGATCTGATTAATGATGGTCCTTACTTAGTTTGGGTAGAACTTGATACCATTCCGTCAAAAGACAGTCTAGAATCGATTTTTGAAATGGTCCAAGAGTCATCAGTAAGCTTTGAATACGGTCTGTAGTTAATTTTAAGGTGGCGTTTTTTGATAACAGTTTAAGTTTAATTTTTTCCCGATTTCATACGTATTAACAGCTCATAACTTTCAAATTTGAAGATTACTGTCACTTAGCTATCGATTTCACTTTGCTAAACCTGATCCGTATTGGGATATATTTTGAGACAGACTTTATGTTGATCTATAAGCTATGAGTAAAAGATCTTGATGTGTAATTAAACAAGAACATACACACTGAGGTATTGTTTGTGATCACAAGAGGTAAACACTCGAAATTCCGGCATTTAATTGGTTCATTTGTATAAATATCCAATTATGGAGAAAGAAAAATCAATTTTACTTGAGATCAAACATTCTCTTTTGCATACAATTTCCAAAGGAATAAATTTAAATGAAACGCTTTTTCAGACACTAATTTTCATTACATCGTACGTGTCGTGAGAGGAAGGTGTTTGAATAATCTTTGTAAGCTGGTAAAGGAAAAACAAATATATCTATTTATTACTTTTATCTTTTTTTTTTTTTGACCTGAAGTAGCACAATGATGTATATTCCCATCTTCGGGTTTTTTCATCAAGTCCAGTAAAGCAATCTCGTTATCAGAATGTCACACAAGTCAAGATAAATCTGCGTGCAAATTACAGATCATATTTTCTGGACAAGATCATACTTGTTCCGAAACTCAATTCTCCAATCAAAGCCGAGATCTGCTCCCGTAATCTCATTACATGGACAGCAGGGTTGGTTACACTGTACAACATCCTTAATTCAAACAAGCGTCGACGTGAGCTACTGATAAAGCGTTCATTAGACCTCGATTGATGCCAATCGCGATGATGGAAAATCTCCTACATGCTTCAAAGGGCTTGTAATTCAATAGAATTTGAAGGAAATGTCGTGTAACTATGCTTAACCCTGTTAGCTATGATTGGTATATCGACTTACTAATGTGTAGACATTGTTTGGATAAGGGGAACATTCTTCTGTGTTGTCCTCTTGTTAAGTTGCAATTCATCTTCTAAACTAATAAAGGATAATGAAGAGTTAATTAATTGAAGAAATGGCGAGAGCTTCTCAAAACGAAAATATTTTTTCTGGATGTATCTGAACAATTTATAATATGATCATGGGCTTACTTTCCCCACAAGATGATAAACTGATCCAACGATTCTTAGACATTATATCTTGAAATATTCCATTTTGAATTTATGCCCGGTTTTCAGAGACATGATTCAAAGTATAATTTCTTGTATATAAATAAAGTCACACTTTTTCGTTGTATAGTTTTGTTACATAATCAAAACGATAGTTTTTGACAAATACGGTTGCCCTGGGAGTGGTTATTTCTAATGATAAACAGACTCAAATTATACACTTTTTTTGCCAGTGACCTTTAACTTGCCCGATGACTTTGGGTCAAGATCTTAACTAATCCTCAGCTATAAAGAAATCTTTGTGCCAATAATCAGTTTCCAATGTGTCTCCATTACAAAAAAATATAGAACAAGAATTATACATTCTTATAAAAGTGACCTTGAATTTGAAAAAATGACCTTCGTTCAATGTCATGACGTTCCTTCCGGTCATAAGTAATTCTTATGTGAAGTATCAACTTCCAATATTTTTTTCCATTAAACAGTGCGACATTTAACTCCGAACACTACATTGTCCAGACTTTTTTACTACCATTTCTAATTGTGATGTCCAAAAATAAATTATAACACTTGATGGGATTTCTTAGCAGTATCTACGGGTCTCATGTTGAACTCTCAAATATCTTTTTTAAAGATATGCTAAAAGTCAGAATCCCATGGACGAATGGTGGGATTTTTAGTCCTTACAACTATCCCACCTTTCTCCCTTGGAAGAAAAAGTGTCAGATGGGATATTTTCTCCCATTGGGATTTTTTCTTCACAAAATTGTCATTGGCCATTTGCAAAATGATTTTGTTAAAAACATTCTGATTGTATACAATAGTCTGAAGTTTATATTAAAAAGATGCTCGATTTTCTGGTTGACAAAATCTATTTAGTTTTTGGAGATCAGGCCATCCAACAATCTGTCGGAATTTCCATGGGTACCAATTGCGCCCCGATTAGCAGATCTATTTTTGTATTCATATGAAGCAGAATTTATTCAAAAACTTATACATGAGAAGAAGAAAACACTTTCTGTGGCCTTCAACTGGACCTTTAGATACACCGACTACGCATTATCAATTAATAATAGCTACTTCCATTCATATATCGACTCGATAATTTCCACTCAAAAAAATTGAGAAGTCTGACACATCATATCAGTTTCATATTTTACTAGAAAAAGGCGTTAATGATAACCTTTGAACAAACTTTATGATAAACGAGATGACTTCAACTTTTCAATTGTCAACTTCCCTTACTTACGTATCAATATACCCTTATTACCTGCATGTGGGGTTTATGTCTCTCAGTTGATTCGATACGCAAGAGATGCTCTACATTTGAACAATTTCTAAAACTAGTCAAACTATTGATAATCAGGTTGATGAAACAAGAATATCAACAGTCTCACTTAAAGTCATCACTTCGCAAGTTCTATGGTCGATACACTGACCTTGTCAGCTAATACAATCTATCATTATGTGGAATGCTAACTGACGATTTTCATACTGATTGGTAGGTCATTATCTACACATTGAATTGTCTACGGATTTTTCCGTTTTCCCGATCATGACAAGGAGCACATGTACACGGCGGGTGTGACCGGTCGGCAGGGGATGCTTACTCCTCCACGGCACCTGATCCTACCTCTGATGATTTAAGAGGTCTGTGTTTGCTCTGCTCCCGATTTGCATTGTTTTAATGGACTTTTACTGTTTGTCATCTCCATGTATCATAATGGACAGGACAAGAATTATATTATTCTGAAATTAACATTGAATTTGATCAAATGATTCTGGGTCAAGGTCAAAGCAGACTCTCGGGTCATAATTAATCTGTGTGTGAAGTAAAAACGTTTAATGTTTCTCCACTAGAAATTTATGGTCCAGACTTAAATGTTACACGTTTTCTGCAAACTTTTTTTTTCATTTATCACCCTCTTAAATTTCTCCAGTAGTGAGTTATGGATCAGACAAGAATTATACACTTTTTCTGCCAGTGATATTGGAATTCCCTCAGTGACCTTTGGTCAAGATTATGACACAACCTCAGATCAGTGATTGTAAAAGTTTCAGCTTTCAATGTTTCTCCATTAAAATACATGGCTAGGATAAGATTTTTTATGTGACCTTAATCAAATAACCTAAGGTCAACATCAGGACAAACCTATGGGTGGGTGATTTGGTAAAAATACTATATAAACAACTGATAAAAGAAGACGAACAATTTTCTGAATTTGAACCTTTAGTTTCAAAAACTAAATAAATGACAGTGAATGCATAATTATTATTCAACAGACATTTTTGCAAAAAACATATACATAAGAACAAAATTATCTAGAGAAGATAAATCGAAACGAAACTTAAGGTTATTTTTGCAAAACGAACAGTACATAAAAGCACGACGAACCACTTAATACACAACAAATGATGCTAGATGAAAAACAGTGGTATTTGCAAAATAAATGAAGATTTATGGACAATAAAATATTTTCGAACTAACTTTTTTTCTGCACATCCTTGCCCCTGGGGCCATTCTTTGAACAAACATAAATTTACAATTAAAGTTCTTTGTTTTTACTTCGACTTGTTTTAGCCCACCTAGGTTCTAACTTTTGCTCCAGAAAAGATAGGGCTTTGATTTTTTTTTTCACATATGCATTATTTGTGACAAGACTTATTGGATTGTATATTTGACCCCATGACTTTGATTTTGAAGTTTGATACAGTTTTAATAAACTTTAATCTTTGCTATAACTGTTTTAATTTAAAAAAATGTATCGTTTTGTATGATGGACAGACAAGATAGAACACACTGACAAGACAGTTACAATATGCCATAAATAATGGCATCCCAACCATTAATCGGGGGACCACAATTCTTTGATTTTGCTTGTTAAAAAATCTTTTCAAGACTATCAGGCCATGCCAAAGTAATATTAAATAATAAGCAAACATTCACAAGGTGTCTGGATTCGAGTTTTTCTTCTTCAAATGATGGACCATGTGGTATGGGTGAAAATATTCTTTTAGAAGATTCATTTTTTCCCCGTCAAATCATGACATGGACTGTGGAGATGGGTCACCTTTACGAGTTTCGTGTGAAAGTCTATAGGGTTTGATTAGAATGGAGAACACTAATCCTTATAATATGTAAAGGTATCAGATTTATAAGGTTGTTTAGTACATAAAACTAGATTAAAAATTAGATTCTGAGAAGGATGTTTTAGTGACGTACCAAAAGTTGCATTTTTTTTTTTACGATACCTTCTATATAAGTTGCAAAAAAATACCAATAGATTGTTTTAGTTGTACGAAAAATAAGTATATTGCAATCTGCGGTATTGCATTCATCAAGATGTAAATGTATTAATATTAATGAAGATGTTTTCAGTGCTTAAAGGCAAATCAGTAATGCGCAGGCCTGTAGCAACGGTTTCAAAAGGGGGGGGGGGGGCAACCTCCCGAAAAAAATCTGACAAGCCAAAAAAAAAAAACAACCTAATTAACTGTACCCAATTCCTGGAATTTGCCAGTGCTCGACCTTACAACAACACAATGTGGTGGGGGGGGGGGGGGGACCAGCATCTAAAGGACAAAAAGATCTAGTGAGGTAGTAGGGTGCTCCCCCCCCCGGCCCCCTGCGTTCTATGGGTCTGGTTATGCATGTACAACAGATTTGCTGAGAAGATTCACTGATATATTATGCTTATTAAATCTAAATTTTAATACAGTATATACTGTTTAATTTGTCGAGACTTCCATTTTTGTATCTTGTGTTTAAAATATACGTAATTAGCATAATTAACTTGCTTCCTAAATGACTACACATCCAAGGCTACAGAAATCTTATCTTTGGAGAACAAACACAGAAGATATCGGGTCATGCTGCTGGAAAATGATCAGACTGATCATAGAAAGGATGATTTCACTGTAAGCTATACAGAAGGAAAATTTTAATAATAGGTCTGTCGAGCAACTTAATAACCCATTTCCGATATTCTCGTCTGTAATAAGCAAACTTTCACATTTCACACACTCCATCTGCAATTTTCTTGTCCGTCTTAATGTTATAATCACTTTGAAACAACTGTAATAAATATAGTTTCTTGGGAAAAAGTATACAAGCGTCTAGTATTCCTGTTACAATATTAAATGAGCTGCCATCTTGTTTTCGTGAATATTGACTCTTGGCTTTTGCTGAATATTAATTTTGCCACCAGAATCAGAGATGGTTTCTCTGTCTTTCAGCTTTGATTGTCTGTTCCCAAGGTTTATCTTGAAGAGGGCATTTAAATTGTTTTAGATAAAGACTCCATACTTCATATAGGCCTAATGTAAGAGTCGATGTCAAAGCTCATTGCTAGACTATGATCATAACCTGCGTCGGTTAAAGTTGATCACTTTTATCGTTGATGGGGATATTCTTGTGTTATGTCTTATAAAGATTTTAACAGTTATATCATAAACGTAATTCGTTATATTCAGTAGGTTCATAAAACGTTTTAAAATGTGAATGAAAATCTCTTCACTGTCTGAAGCCTGAATTCATGATAAGCGTTTTCGCTACAACCTTGTTTTACTGTATATGTGGAAAGGATTGTCAGGCACTACGGGAAGGAAAAAATATTTTAAACGGGGTTTTAGATTGTGACGTTTTTCTTGTCTGTGCAAAACCTATAAAGGGTCTACATGTAAACCACTCGTCGTATATTGAGTTGAGTGTTTAAAGGGTTTGTAATTCAAGGCATTAGACCAATATATTTTTTATAAAACAGCTGAGGTATATTTCTTGGTGTAATTTTGTCTTACGGTCTACTATTTTCAAGGCCAAAGCTCCCATATAAATTAACTTCTCCCATTATTCTACACAACATAGAGCACTTATGTTTTCTTGGTTACAAAAAATGTCCTCAAAAATAAATTTAAGATTGGCGTGTAGTAAAACACAAATCACGGTCTTCCACTCCAATACTGGCAGTAAAGATGCCGTATGTTGTTTCTTTTCAGATTCAAAAATGTATCCATCTCCCTGGGACGAGTGGTGGGGTTATGGAGGAAGAGCAGGTAATAACTATTTAATTTCCATTATCGGATTCCAAATGAAGTTGTATTGGATTTAGTAACGCGATATGGCAGATACAAGTAGATGCTGGTTTTTCATCCACAGTTTAGGTCTCTGGACATATATTGACGTTTTTAGTCGAATTTTGAGAAGCTTCTCTCTGTTTTTAAATCATTATCCATAGGCTAGGGTGTGGCAGCAGAAGATAAATTTTATAAGATTAATTTCATAATGAAAGCAGTATGATTTACGTGAACTATACATACATGTACATGTGTTGCATGCAATGATTATCTGCTAGTTTTAAAATCGGCTTTTCTTTAGTAAAGCTTTCGTAATTATAGTATATGGTACATTTCTCAACTGAACTTGTAGAGCGATATAATGAATCTTGATGACTCCGTGTAAGAATATTTTTCTGAGTGACACATACTATAATAGACAAACCCTTCAGATCTAATTTAAGGAACATCGACCCTCTGATAAGAAAGATAACTCCAATTTGGATGAATGACAATTATTCTGTTATGAAATTGTTAAGTTAAAAGTCCTTGTCTGTAATATTTTGCCCCCGCAAAGTATGCTGAAATTTTGTGCATTTTAATTATAAATTACATTTCCTTTGAGAAGTTCTTAACGTTAAAGCAAAGTTTTATATGAGTGAAGAGAGGAATGATGAATCTTAAATACTGAAATTATACCATTTTCAGTAGAATTGTGTTCCAACAGACATGACGCAAAAAACAGCCATTTAGCTATCTAAATATGGGTGTTTTCGCCCACTCTGGAACATCATATAAAAGACGGTTTTCATTTTGTGTAAAAACAAGTCGTAGGATAATTTTGGACATTGTACTAGCATTAGTCTTATTTCTTACGGAATGGATCGATGCATTGCTTGGTGGTCCGCTGGCGGGCTAGTCTCAATCTTCCGTTCTAACACGCCACTCGTTATTTTAATTAAACAGGGTAGCAAAGCAATTCTCGTGTCAAATATCGCCCTCTCGTGTCCACTTTTTATGTGGTCAGATTAAATGGAGTTTTTCTTGGTCCCCTGGCGTTACATTTTGTATACCTGTGTAGTAATCTTTTCAAGTCTATAATTTTTGTAATGAGAACCCAGAAGATTTGTTTTACAGGACAAAACGTCTAAACTTTTTTAAAAAATTACTGCAATAAGAAGCATAACGGAGATTTGATTGTGTAAACACCTAGACTATAAGATAGATAAAACATTGACACCTTTACGCAACTTATTTCCCATCAATATTTATATCGTGCTTCAAGTACTAATAACTTTACAGAATATCACAGTATTTGATATAATCCCCAGTCATAAAACGACACAAAATTAAATAAAGTTTTTAAATCTGATGTAAAATTTGGTTATTTTATTCCTGAAAAGTTCGTAAAAAGACTTAAGAATCTTTTCTGCCCAGATTGAGAAGTATTTTTGTTGATCCGGGAATTGATCGAACACTCTGATTTAATGGACGACATCGCGTTTTTTGCGATGCCTTTATTACATGAAAACATATCAAAATCGGGGAAAATGCATTTTACATGTTAAGTCGTCGGCGAAATTGATGGTAGAAAATTTATGACTTTGGATGTAATTTCTTGGCACGAAGGACCTAAACCAAATTCTGATTTGATCTTCGGAAAGCAAATTACTACTTGTTCGAAATAATACTCGACAAAAGAACACGAAAGGAATTCTTAAACTCACAAGAAACATAAAAAGAGACTTATTGTCCTGTTAATTGTATCAAATATTGCTTCAATATCTCTCTATTTTCAATTAGTAAAATGTTTATATTTGTATTATTAGTTTTAAAATGCATTCCCAGAGAACGGTCATAATATGAAAATCCTAAAATAAGGTTTAAATCAAAAATTGTCTTAATATTCATTATATCCAGAATGATTAATTTATTAGATATTTAAAATCTGTGAAGGAATTTTGAATGCCGACTCTTTCAGAGAATTTAAATGAAAAAGCAAAGTATTTCACCAATGTATACATGCGAGGAAATAATGTTTACAATTGCCTTAATTTTCATGAACATATCAGATCGATGCTCCCTCAAAGAATGAGGGTTCCTTCTTTTTTAATTCGGTATGCTAGACCTTACAGTTACGGACATCACTGTATGATGGACCGTGACATAATTTTTTAGGACGGGAGTTACTTTTAGAGCAATAGCTTCCACGAAGGTGAAAGTAGAACACTGTAAAACAGATATTCAGATTTTTACAATTAATAGAGAACACTGGCATTTCATTAAATATTCAACATTCCAACAAATTGTGATTTTTCAACTGTCAAAATAACGGTCAAATTTTGGGTATTTAGTTTTCATTAAATCGTTCCCACTTCCAGTCGTTTTGCTGGAACGTTGATTTGTTGCGTGTTAAATGTCTTAGTTGTTTTGCACTGTATTCCGATTGCACGTTGACAACTCATTTCTCAAGACAGCCCAAAAGTGTTTGCCATGCCTTAATTAGAATGCAGAAGAATGACACAGGACACAAACGAAACCGAATAAACTCATCTAGGTGAAGTAAGTTTAACATTTCTTGATCAGAACTGACAGGTTTCCATTAGATATCGGATCGAAATGTTCATGAAAGATTTCACAGAAACCCGAGAAATTTAATGTAACCTAATGAGGAAGAGTTCGTTAGTTTTCTGTAAGTGCAACCCACAGGGACTTCAGAGACGTAAAATGAATGCTGCTCATAGACTGTGTTTACAAATCAAGATAATTGGCCAACCCAATTAGAAATTCCTTGCCCCATGTATATTATTTTTTGTTACTTTTTCCGATATTTATGTATTGTTAGGTATTTTTAATTACAGTCAAACCTGAATTAACCGACCTATTAAGGGAACTACTAAAATGGTCACATATCAGGCCCGTAGGAAGCAAATTAAGTTGGGGGGGGGGGGGGCACAGCCATACATTTTCAGTTGACAGTTGAGGGGGCACTATCCAAAAATTCCTTGACAAGCCAAAAAAAAGGTCATCAGACGTTTTTATTGAGGGGGCACAATCATATAGTATCTAAGTTTACTATAGTAATCTATATATCGGCAAAATTATTGGGGGGGGGGGGGGCGCCCCCGGTTCTTACGGCCATGCCATATGGCAGGTAGTCTCTTAAAGCAGGAAATCTTCCATGAATTTTCGGAGTATATGAATCCTAATTAGTTATACATGTACTTGTTTTCCTGTTCTCCGTCCTTTGTCATAGTTTTGAATGATTTTTCATTGTTCTTAATAAATAATATTCAATAAATATTTATTTGTAAATTTCTACAAACTGTTTTTTATTTCTAATCGTGTACTATTTACACTGGATATGTATTTTTGCACAAATATAAGTTTGAGAAACAGGCATGCTGCCAATTTATTGAGGCAGATTCAGGCTCAATATAAAAAGAATTATATTTTTCAGCCATGACCAAATGTTTTTTTTTAAACCTATATCCAACATTTGCTTATTTTGTGATCGGTCGACAGGGGATGTTTATTCCTGTTAGGCACCTGATCCCGCATCTGCTGTTTCAAGGGATCTGTGTTTTTACCTCTTCACGATTCGTATTCTTTACTGGATTCATAAGAATGATCACTGTTAGTTACCTTCACCATTTACATTATGACCCGTCGCCCGCGTGGCGCAGTGGTTAGAGCGTTGGCTCTAGAGTCGCGGAGTAAGGAGTTGATCCTTACGTCGCAGGTTCGAATCCCACTGTGGGACGTGGAGACCGGTCCTTCGGATGAGACCGTATAAACCGAGGTCCCGTGTCACAGTAGGTGCTGGCACGAAAAAGATCCCTCACTGCTCAATGGCCCTGAGTGCCGAGTATAGGTCAAAATTTGTAGCTCTCCACGGGCAAGTGGTGGCGTCTCCATATGAGTGGAAAAATTCTCGAGAGGGACATTAAACAATAAACAAATAAACAAACAAATACATTATGACCCATGATAGTATAGATTTGAGATTTGTCTCTAATGCTTCAATATCACATACTGTATACTTTCATGGACGATTTTGATCAAGTGGACTTGTTTGATTAGCACCAGTTACAAATAACATATTTCGTTTTAGCACCTGAATACTGGGGAGACACATACCCTGACCATTGGTACATGTGTTCTAGGGGCAAGCAGCAGTCACCAATTAACATAGAGCCCGATTTGTTACTATATGATGGAAATCTTGGACATCTTATCGTCAACTCCCCTCCTGTAAGTTTAATGGTGAAATCTCATTCAATTGACGAAGAATGAAATTCGTTGGACAAATTGTATTGTATCCTGTCTACGCGTTTATATTTTTGAAACCGACTCACACCTACAGCATATGGTAATTTGGCTGAACTAGTCGAGCTAATGCAAAAACAAATAACAGTAATATTTAAAATTTGTTACAACTTTTCATTTGATAATTTGAACACATTCTTCCACAAAAACCTCTTCAGTGGGATATGCAAACATTCTGGGTTTTTTTTCTCTACTGTATGAAAGATGATATCGACTAATATTTACACCAAGTTATTGATTTGGCAAATATTTTTATTTAACTTTATCTCCGTTTATATACCGTAATAAGTTTGAGGATATCGTATCCTAAATTATCTTTAAAGCAAACCTATACATGGTTACATTAAAAGTTGAATGTACGTGAAATGATTTTGTTTTTATTTCGAAGTTGTTGTTGTCTTTTTATTTAGGTTGAGGGTATACTTCAGAACACCGGAAATGACATCACTTTAACTTTCAAAAATGACATCAGAAACCAAATCAACGTCACCGGCGGGCCTCTTTCCTACGTGTTTCGAATCACCGATGTCAAATTTCATTTTGGAAGAAAACAACGGGCGTCCGAACATCAGATCAGCAACAAGTCATTTACAGCTGAAGTACTGCTACTTTACATTTTACTTGTACTATCAGTCTCTCAGTACTTTTTACTGTACTACAGCTAACGCGCTTCATGAAATATGCCGGCGTGAAGCGTCGTAGTTCAAGTCTTCATGAATCTTCAAAAATTAAATTCATTTCTTAAATAAGTAATCATGTATATCACATTTTTTCAAGAAATGCTCACATCTTTGACCTTAGATAAGCATGATGTTTAGTCATTCTCTTTCTGACGCCTAACAGAAGAGGTTTTACTGTAACTATTAAAAAAACCTTGAGAGCGCTTTATGAATTTTCCAAAGAAATCCCAAAAGTGGTTCTCAAATGGACGTAAAAGCTCTGGTTATTGAAATTATACTTCCCCGCTGTAAATTAAGACTACCATCTTCTGCATTTTGATTACTTTATGCCACTTGTTAAACCTATCGGGGACGCTTAAACGGAATAAGAGCAGTTACATTTTCAATATTGCAAGCTTTTATTTCAAAACGAATATCGACGAGAATTTAGACATTAAGTTTTAAAATGAACTTTATGTTCAATATTTTTTTTTACATGAAATTCTTCATAAAGGATGCAGCTAGTATTGATACTTGTTATTCTCAGAAATGGGGCAAATTGGATTTAATTGGTTCTATTTCAGTTCTTTTCAACATGTGCACCTTTTATCTAGTGACGTCAGCATTTATACATTAATTTTTTTTTAACCCTTATGTTGCAAAGAAAAGATTTCGGAGTTATTTACTGTCTTAATTATGTCGTTTTTAAATGATCAGTTGATCACAATGTCTTTTTGCAGATGCACATAATGGGATATAATTCTGAGGTCTATAGCACGATAGACGAGGCCATGAATGGAGTAAGAGGCCTGGTTGCCATAGCTGTTTTTATTGAGGTACCTAAGATCAAGACTAAGTAAAAGGTCTTATCACATTTCGAGTTGTATGTGGTGTGTGGTACTCGAGAAAAGGGGTATTTTTTGGATAACTGGCCAGATATACTTAATTTTCCTCAACATGAAAGAATCACAAAAAGATGTTTCTTATTTGAAAGTGATATGTATTTTCACTCTCAGATGAGTATTTTTTCTAATTCTAATTAAATCTCTACTACCTTATGTACTACTACATAACCTGTTATTCTTAAAAAAGCGCAATTTATAAATCAATAGGAAACAATTATTTGTTTTTTATCATTCCGCAATTTTCATATCCGTCAATAACCATTTCAGTTTTTGTATTTGCAAGTCTACAAGTACTTGATCTTTATTATATATTCAAGCCCATATTTAAAAAAAAAAATCTTAGCCACCTACTCATTTTTTATCTTGAGTCGGGAAAGGGCAAGCAATCTTTCTTTTAAAGATGTCCTAAACATATTCATATACATGTACATTGCGGACCCAAGCACGGGTTGTTTCTCATCAATGCAGTTATTACAAGCTATCCTCTGCTCACTTTTCTGGAATTTTTCTGCTAGGTCACAATTTCTCAACAGAAGTTGGAGATAAAATGAAATTAAAGAAAATTCAGTACACCACACGCCGCAAGTTTATGACAAATCATTGCTGAAAACGTCAAAAACTGATTATCAAATCCGAGCTGCAAATATACTTTGAATGCTTTGTACTTATGTTTCATAATTTAAACTAACTTTTTTCATAGATAGGCCTGGAATCTAATTATCCGCTAGAACTGATAACAAAGAGATTAAAGAATATACCAATAAAAGGTATTAATCACTCTTTGTATCAATTAGTAATCGATTTTCAGAGATGACTTAAAATCAAGAGGGAATGTGTAATTTCACCAGTTGATGAAGAATACCATATAAAAGATTGATATATACTATTTTTTATATTCAACATTATTACTCTTTGTATTTTTGCATTGTTACAGGCAATAAAATCAACATAATAGGCTTTACCCTTAATGACCTTATTCCCAACACAACGGAATACATGACGTATGAAGGATCACTTACGATACCCGGATGTCAAGAAAGCGTTACTTGGATTATTTACAACAAACCTGTTTACTTATCCACAGACCAGGTATTTTTTTAACCAAATGCGAAAGAAATCAAAATATCCATGCTTTCTTATTATTTATAAAGGTAAAAGTAACCCAGGACATTATTGAGTGAAGGTCAGTGTTCATTCGAATGAAATCTTAAAATCTAGGACGACCACTTAAAATTGACTGGGACAAAGATTTAAAATTTTGTACATAACATGACTAATATATATATTTGCTAGAGCATTTTACACCAAAATATATTAAAAGCATGTTTAGAAACATCTTTTATCTAGAAATTATTAAAACTACGAATTTCGGGACGCGTTTGATTGACACACATCCTTGCAATTTCACAAAGTAAACTTTATCCATACACAACTTAAGAAAAGTGGAAATTTTGTTGTTATTAATGAAAGATATAAAAACTTTAATCCAGAAAGTTCAGAGTAGATATGCGAGAAAGCAAAACCAACTCACCAATAGTGTCAGTCCGTGCTCAATGATGCCTGCAGACTAAACAAGTTGAACACAACAGAGCTCGTGTCCTCTTTACAAACATACGTGTTTGACGTGATATTATGAAGAATGTCGTTTCCATTAATTCTTAGTATATTCATGCAAGTTCAAATCATTAAACTGAAGTTATTATTATTTTTTTTTTGGAATAAAAATAGACATTTTAAACTGTAAACAAAGCAACTGTGTCCAGGCCCCTTTAATTTTTGCTTGAGTTCAAAGCATGTCACGTTTTCTATCGTAATGACATTACAAAATGAAAGATTTTAAAAAAAATTCTCTCTGGAATGTATAAGTGTATCTGTCGCAATACCGAGGCCGTCGTTATTTTGAATTTTTATTTTAAATTCGTAAAATATATTCACTTTTGTCACAGGAAAATTTTGCTGTTATTTCTTCTGCTTGAGGATCTACTCCCTTGGGTGTTGATCTTACAGATTAATCATAACAGGAAAAAGACCAGATAATGAAGTCACTGTCTATTGCAGACTAGTGACATTTCTTCTGTGTACAGTTTTCGCCTTACAAAATGAATAATGGATTGGATGTTGTTGATTTTTTTTTCGAGATTTTAGCACGTGCTTCTGTCGAGGTCCAACACCTTTAAATCTATTGTGAAAAATTGTTATTTAATTTCGGCAATTTTTAAAAATGTGTTATTTAGTCTTAATGATATTCCTCAACGATTTGCCTTGAATGAGTATTTATTCAACAGTAAAAACAAAAAAAAAGTGTCATAGACTGTTTCCATTTCAATTCGACCTAAACAATGTAATTAACAGATCATGCAGATAGACTTCCAGTTTTTAAAAAGAGAAGCGAACTATTTTTTTCAACACTTTAAAAAGTCAAGATTAATACTTAATAAGTTTTAAATTATTATCATTTATTTCAGATGAAACTCTTCCAAACAATACCGCAAATGCGTTGGATCCACACAAATAGCAGATCTGTCATGCCACTCAACCAAAGGGTCATACGAACGAATATCAATGTCAAACAAAAAGTATATATTACGTTTGTTTATAGTGCTTATAAATCACTGATTAGTTGTGCAATTGTGTGTAGAGAAATGGTATTTGCTGTGCTTGAAAATTCTTTTTCATATTTTTGTGAAAGTACATACTGAGTAGTATTTGTTATGGATTATAGTTATACTTCTATTAAAATGTTTCCTATGGAGATATTAGGAGGTAAAATAACTATTTTTCCATACTCTGAAGATTCCAATGTATTGCAATGCTACAGCCCATGGTACAAAATGTCCTAGCCACCTCTTTAAAAAAATCATTCAATTTGAGGTCAGTTTTGATTTCCTGTAATACAATTGGTTGCGATTTCTTTAACGCTGGACTTCCACAAAGCGATACCCCGGGTATAAAATTAAATGCGCTACCTATCCTTTTGGAAATACTTGTATATGTTTTAGTATAATAAAACGCTTAATGGAAAATATCCACTGGATGTGTGCGGATAGCTCTTTAATCAAACTTTTGATGGTAACAATTCCTCTCGGAGTAGCCCTCCGTGTCGGGAATAATTCCTGTCACGGGTTAGATGAAATAGCTACATGTATCCCATTTACAGTCAATGGATAGGTTTCTAGTGAAGTTGAATACATTTCTTTTTAATTTTAGACTGACATTTGTACGATAGAGCAGCATTTCAATTACAAAGGTAAGAAAAATTTTCTTACTTATTTAATCTGTAATAATGTATTCATTACGAACTTATAAATCGGACGATTATGATGATACTTTTAAGTGTAACCAAACCCAAAACAAGCACAATATCAACAAGTTTGAGAGTGAAATTATATACTGAATAATGATTAATATGGTCTTCTTGTTGTAGTAAATGAAATGTTTACTTCATGACAAATGATAAGCATTTCAACCCATGGGCAGACAACCCAGGATCTGCTACTGAGAAGTGCCACAAAGATCAAGATTGCTGTTTCATTTTGTGTTCACCCACGGATTATTAGTGTACATCAGATGCTTGCATTTTCATGGTGCTATGACTGGATTGGTTTCGATATTTTTTTAAACCGACGAGAAATCAACGTTATACATGTATCATATAATTATACAACATAAAATAAACACGTACAGAGTGTTCTTCGGCTTCAATGCGCAAGTCAGAAATATACCCGTGCGATATGGCACTACCCGGTGCTACAATCACGTGACTTTAGAATATGCAAAGTTTGCTCTTTATTTACGTGTATGTGTGATTTGTGTGTTTGAAATATTGTAATGGGTCTTATGAGCCAGTAATAATTATCTAAAATCAAAGAAGTGTTACAGTAGCCTGCAGATAATTAAGATTGTTCATGTAACTATTGTATCTTTGAATAAAGTCATTTGATAATAAATGTAGATCAGAACATTTTTGAGAAAACGAAAAGCTTTATAAGTTACTGCAGTAGGTTAAACGGTTTTAAAATGTTAAGAAAGTAAATGAAGAAAATTCTATCAATGTTAAGTTTATTTTTCTCATGTTTTTCAAAAATTATCCTGATGAATCTTGATACATCAGTGTTGAATTATAAGTGATTCAGTGCACTGCCATAATCAATAGGATAGCGAATTTCTGGGGAAGTATCATCTGAAAATCCTCAAAACAGCTTTTTTTTTTTTTTCTTTTTGGATAAAAAATTCTTTGGCATATCATGTCAAGTTGCACTCAGAAGTTTTGCTTCGTTTTTTAAATATAAATAATGAAGGTTTCATTGAGTTTTTGAAAGTGCCAATTATTTTTGATGAATTATTGTATTTCTGAAATACACCTCGAGGACGAAAATTGGACATAGCTGAAGTGCTTAGATGTTTCAGTTACGATAAAAGCTGATCGTAAACCCTATAGATATAGGATGTTAGTAGCCGGTATTGAGGTACCCGCGGTACTAGGATATGATTTCCTGAGTGACAATAATTGTTAAATGAAACTTGGTGAGGGTACGCTCAAGTTGAATCGGTTAGTTGTAGACTTCACAGCAAATTTCAGACCCTGTTCAAACTGTCGTCGACTGAAAATGCAGTGATACCTCCGTCGAACGAAATGATAATTCCAACGAGAATTTTGGGTGATCAGATACTTGGGAAACAGTTGTTGTTACAGGTATAAGTCCATCTGTGTCAAAGAAAGGAATTATAGTAGAGATAAGTGTTTTTGACCCTAAAAAATATGAACTACCTGTACGTGTTGTCATTGTTTTTGATACCCCTCAAACCATTTACAAAAATACGGTTAGGACCGAATGTGAGATAGTTCTTGAGAGTGAAGTAGTATCATTTTAAAATCAATCTTGTAATGGAATGAATGCGCATACTTTGAAAAACCTAGACCTTTCAAAGGTACCACAGGAACATGGGTCTGTTCCCGACCATATCAAAGTTGTTCTTGGTTCTTGTAGAAATAATCTAAACAATGTAGAATTGACGAAAGTGTGCAATCTTTTGCGAAACTATTCAAGTGTGTCAACCTCTAAAGACGATTTGGGAGAAACAGATTGTGTTTTACACAAAATGAATACGGGTCAAGCTTTAATGACAAAACCTATAATGTCCTACCCAGATATGTCAAAGTTGTTTATACTAGATACCGATGCTAGTGGCACAGCCATTGGCCGCAGTTTTGTCCCAGGTTCATGAAGATGGAGAACATGGTTTTGCATTTTTAGCAGGTGTCTAAGCATGTCTAAGCATGAGCGACAATATTGCATTACCAGAAAAGAGCTCTTAGCTGTTGTTGAAGCAATTAAGCATTTTCATTACTGTTTATTTGATACGAAATTCTTGTTAGAACAGATCATAATGCTCTCAGCTGGCTGCGACGTTTTTAAAATCCTGACGGTCGGCTGCTAGCTATAGGTGGATCCAAGTTCTTGATACATACAATTTTGACATTCGGCATTGTCTTGGAAAACAGCATTCTATAATGCTGATGGTATGTCTCGTCGACCATGCATTTCTTGAAATTTTGCGAGAAACAACGAGAGACAAAATCACTTTTTCCGGTGAATCTGTTGCCCATGTGTCAACCCAAACTTCCTGTTGTTGACGTTCAGCATCAAGTCAATGTAGTGTCTACAGTGGAATCTAGTCTAGTTTCAGAAGACGGTAATCTTTCTTTATTCCAGTCCAAGTCCAATGATGAATTCTCAAAAGCCCATGGACAAGTCCCTGTTCTGAAACATCTCTTCTCCCTGAAAGAAAAATACAAATATGAACCTCCCAAGTGGCAGGAAATTTCTCACCTATCCCCAGCCTTTAAATCATATTGGTCACAGTGGAAAAGAATTGAAATTATAAATGGTGTTTTATACAGAAGGATGTTGATAAAAAATTTGGATAGACTGCAACTGTTGGTTCCAAAGTGTTAGCAGAGTGAAGTGTTAACTTTGTTGCATGACTCTTTGCTTTCAGGTCACTTGGGTGTAACCAAGACCATAAACAAAATTCGGATAAGATTCTGTTGGTCAGATTATTTGTCCCATACCAGGAGATGGGTTGAAAAATGTACTGTGTGTCAAAAGCGTAAACCCTCTTCCAAACCAATTAGAGGAGCTATGGCCCAATACAATGTTGGTGCACCCTTTAGAGAATAGCTCTTGATATAATGGGCCCATTGCCCCAAACCCAGAAAGGACACAAATATATATTGTTCATTACAGATTATTTTACGAAATGGGCAGAAGCTACCCTATGATAGATCAGGAAGCAAGTACCATTGCCGATTTCTTGATCGATTTCATTTGTCATTATGGTTTACCTTACAAATTCATTCTGACCAAGGGAGACAATAACAGTTTATTCTTTTTAAAGAACTCGGTAAAATCCTTGGAATTGACCAAACAAGAACCTCTCCTTATCACCCTCACTGGCTCCTAAGCAAAAAAAAAAATTAGTCGCCATTGCAGATTTTTAGTCGCCAGGCATTTTTTTTTCTTAGGCTCTAACTTAAAAACTGATATTAGTCAATATATAGAGACAAGTCCATTGCTAACTTTAAAACTTCTTTTCTGCGTTTTATAAAAAAAAAAGTTGAAAATGTTTGTAGTTCGGTTATTTGACGATCACCAAATCAATTTAAAATGGTCGCCAAATAGGCGACTTAAAGAAAAATTTTAGGCGCCAATTATAATTTTTAGGCACCAGGGCGACTAAATTAGTAGCTAATTAGCCCTGCTTTTACCGGTTGATTTGTTGTATGGAAAATGTCAAGACCGTAAAATACTGTCCGATTATGTACAAGACCCTATAACAAAACTGTGGAATGTGCATGAAGGTGCTCGTGAGAATATTTTGAAAGCTAGTGACAGACAAAAGAAATATTACGACCTCAAGACAATGATCAAACTTTTTCCCTAGGGTGTTTTATTATTAAACTCAGCGAATAATAATGGAAAAATCACCAAAACATATGTGTAAATATGGGAGGGACCCTACACTATAATTACAAATCTATCAGATTTTTTTTTCGAAATTAAATATACTTTAACTTCCAAGTCAAAATTTGTACATGTAAATAGATTGAAACCATATTTTGGGAGAAAGAAAAAATGGTTTGTACCACCCAGTGACAGAAACACCCGTGCCCAGGGGACCAATGCCCAATAAAAGAATAATATCTCTGACCAAAGATTAAAATATTTACATGTAAATTTGTGTTGGTAAACTTGATTGATTTATTGTATGTTGTTTTACGTACTATTCGAGAATTTTTCACACATATAGAGACGTCACCATATGCCGGTGAAGGGCTTCAAATTATGACCTTTACTCGGCACTTAGGGCCATTAAGCAGTGAGGGATCTTTATCATGCCAACGCCTGCCGTGACACGGGGCCTCGGTTTTTCAGGTCTCGTCCGAAGGACCCGCAACTTTCACTTCAAAGTTCCGAGCGCATGGCGAAGGAACAGTTGCTACCCATTTTTTATCGACTTTGGTCAGTCGCGGCCGAGATTCGAACTCCCGACCTCCCGATCACGGAGCGAGCGCTCTACCGACTGAGCTACCGTGAATGGTGGTAAACTTTTGTATTTCATTTTTTTAGTGTCCACCGATATCTTGGAACTTCATACCTTTCCGCTCCCTGTGAAGAACCATTACATCAATGTGATGTTATGGCCGGAGATTCTTTTTCAGACACAAGCTTTCTCGGCACATGAAAAATGTCCATGTAGACAGAGTCTTCTGTTCCTATTATTCTGTTCCAAATACTGAAAAGACATGAAGAAACTATCCATCAGAGTAAGAAATGTAAACCTACCACTGAAGAAAAGAAACCTGCAGCCATGGGACACTTACCCGAAACAACTGTGAGACCAACAGTTAGACCGCCCCCTCCTATCTACTCTGATATTTCTTCTGTCACCTCTTTACATCAGGAGGACCCATCGGACTTGTTCGAGTGGGGTTTTTCAGGTTGTCTTTCCTTGAGTTAATGTCTTTCCAGGATCCTAAGACCTCTGTTCCTAAAGCTATTCCTGAAAAGCTTATATGTAACTCATTGGCCACTCCTGATAGGGTGTCTACACCTGATTGTGCGTCTGTAGAGCCCTCATCCCCCATTCCTGTGAAAGTTCATGTCCCTGTAGTCACTGCCCATGAAGAGCCCAATAGACGTCCAATAAATTATATAAAACTACAATATCTTTCATTTCGCAAACGAACCCCGTCATTACATATATGATATGATATGATATGATATGATATATGATATGATATGATATGATATGATAAACTTACCAAAAAATTGATCAAGTGTAAAGAAAGGTGAAAGGTAGTATGATTTAGCCCTTGATATGGTATCCTCTTACTTTTTCCAGGAATACATCACTAATAATTTATAATAATATTTGCAAAAGAAAAGTTTCAAAGGGAAATTTTGAGAGTAAGTAAACCTTTATGCTCTGAACTCTCATTTGATTGTGCCCTTCTGCCACTTGAACGAAAACAATCAGTTTCAAATTTATTTACAAAAGTAAAGACAAACAGCTGAATGCAGATATACCTTGTTCATATATTTATTTATTTTTTCCCTACAGGAGCATATCCAAAAAAAATGATCGAAAGGGATAGAGAAAAAGTTCCAAAAAGAGTTCCAAAAAGAAGTTAGTTCAAGGATGAGTCATACATCAATAATTATATCAAAATATTGATGATTCTTGCTTTATTTTTTTCTGGCTGTTAAAAAAATCTTTCCTTAAAAGAAGCTTCATCCATATTAACAGCAGACCAAATCCAACATAAAACAAACACAAGGAATCCAAGATAATTTACATATTTACAAAATACCTTTATATAAAAAATGTTTGAATAAACCTTCATATGGTTAACATCCTGATTCCTGAGTATATATATTTTTTAAAATTA